GGAACTCAAGGGATGACCCCATTACTGGTTCACTAAGACTAAAGGACCGTTGGGAAAAATGGATCGATAAATTACATGCATTGAATGGCCTGGCGATCCCTCGATGTTACAAACCACAAGAGTTCAAAAGCAACAATATCCAATTACATTGTTTTTGTGACGCCAGCACATCTGGCTATGGAGCATCAGCTTACTGGCGACAAAGGTGAAGTTCATTGTTCCTTTGTCAGGGGAGTCGCTAGAGTAACTCCTAAGCAGCCACTGGCTATTCCACGACTGAAACTCACCGCTGCAGTTGCGGCTGCTGAACTTGCCAATTCAATTTTACAAGAACTGGACTAAACTGTTGACAGCGTTATATACTGGTCAGATTTCATATCAGTTATCCAGATGATAGCGTTCTGAACGCTTCAAGAAATTTGTGGTCAACAGAATAAACACAATTCATCTCTTGTCAAAACCACATCAATGGCACCATGTCGAACCTAAGCGGAATCCAGCCGACATTGCTTCTCGTGGTCTAATGCCAGATAAACTGAACAAGGCCGGTATTTGGTTCAAAGGCCCACAATTTATATGGGGAAGGAAGATGCATGGACCATGGTTAATGATGGGATTCATAAAGTCCCATGCGACCCACAACTTGTTTCGGAGATGAAAGTAAATTATACTGAGCGTATGGAAGATCTCCCAGTTACTCTCCATTACATAAACTGTTATTGCGTTACTCATCATTCGAAATGCTACGTAGAGCTGTTGCATGGCTACTACGTTTTTGTACATATGAAACTTGGAAATTCTCACATTCTGACAATTCACCAACTTTGGGATTTTTATCTGTGGAGGAATCAGATTGCGCCACCAAAGAAAATTATGAAACTAGTACAACAATCATCACTCTCAGAGGAACTCAAATATTTTGAAAATAATACAGATGCTGAGGGAGCACCATTGAATCTACAGAACAAGAAGAAACTGAAAACACAATTTTCGAAAACACTTCTCAAATGCAACCCTTTTGTACAAGATGGAATCCTGCGTGTAGGTTGACGACTTCGAAACTCTGGTTTACCAGTTGATCAGAAGCATCCGATTATTCTTCCACCATACCATCATGCGACAAAGCTGATTAATTCCAAACATCGTGAAATGACTGGACATTCTGGTACATTAAACACACTAACCTCCGTTCGTGGCAAATAGTGGATTTTAAAGAGACAATCTGCTGTTGCTAAGGTTGTTCGCGACTGTGTTGCTTGCAACAGACTCTTTGCAAAATTAGGAGAGCAGTGGGGATGGCAGATCTACCATTTTCTCGTGTAGAGGCAACCCACCATTTTGCTACACTGCAGTTAATCTGTTGGGCCCTGTAAAAGTCAAACTGGGGCAAAGCGAACATAAACGATATGGCTGTATATTTTCATGCATGGCTACAATGGCCATTCATATCGAAGTTGTGGAATCTTTGACTACTTCAGCGTTCTCGCAAGCTTTCTTCAGGTTTTCATCCAGACGTGGCAAGCCTGCTCATGTATATTCAGACAATGGATCCAACTTAGTGGCGGGAAGCAAAACTATTGCAGATGGTATTAACAAATGGAATTCCAAACAGATTGACACATCTCTATCTCAAGAGGGTAGGTATACAATGGCATTTTTCGCCTCCTCTTTCTAGTCACCAAAATGGAGTGGTGGAAAGAATGGTACGAAAGGTGAAAAGAATTCTTCGAGCTCTATTGAATGGCCAGTCTCTCAATAATTACTCATTATGGTCTCATCTTACAGGAGTGGATGGCATTTTCAACGATAGACCACTCACACCACTGAGTGATGATCCGAAAGACTTGAATGCCCTCTCTCCCAACTCAATTTCGATAAACAAATTAGAACTGTCTTTACCACCTGATGTGTTCTTTTGAACGGATGAATATAGGAGAGGATACAGACATGTTCAACAATTACTCGATTTATTTTGGCAGCGTTGGACAAAAGAATATCTTCCCCAATTACAGTGCCGACAGAAGTGGCTCAATGTTCAACGCAACTTCCAATTTGGAGATCTTGTACTGATGTATGATGACGATTCACCAAGAGGATGTTAGTCCAAGGCAATTGTAGAAGAAACATATCCTAATGATCAAGGAGTTGTCAGACGAGTGAAGAAGGCACGCACATCCAATTACACATATGTGCGTTACATAAGGAAGCTTTGTCTCCTTAAAGCTGTTTGATATATAGCAATAGCATCCACACCACACATACACAGTTACACATGCATTCTCACTATGGGAATAATAGGTGTCTATTTTGAAGTTATTTTTGAGGGAGATAATTTTTTGGTTTTAGCCCTCCTTTTTATTTTTTGGGGTCTTGCATTGACAATTTCGTTATCTTTATTGATTTGTTACTGTGTTTATTCTTTCAATTGTTTTTGAAAGTTAAGCAAACCGTTCTTGGTTTTTTAAAATAATTTTCCATGTTACCGATACACCATTTCATATAATTTTCGGGGCATTTTATGGAACATCGAGTCCTTCATTTTAAGCACCGTTAAGTTAGTCACGCTTTATGATTTTACATTGCCCATCTTTACTGTGACGTAATAAGTCACTTCTTTCCCCGCGCTTTACGGCCTTCTAGACCAGCGTTTCCCAAACTTTTTCGGCCACGGAACACTTACACTTTTTATCTCGCCTCGCGGAACACTAAAAAATGGAAGGGTAAAATTGATACAAAAAAAAACGGTGTAATATAGCGGTTCCCAATGGGTTCGTCGTGGCGAGTTGCCAAATGCGCAACAAAAAACAACAGAATTGTGTTAAACATACCTAAAATATGATTGAATATTTTACATATTTCATTTATTATAAATGTTTTATTGTTTCTCGATTTGAATGCTGTGTATATGAATCAACAAATTCATTTTAACTTTCTATATCGTTTACTTTCCGTTTGCCTTTATAATGTTACGTCTAATGGAGGTAGAAGTACTTTCTGCAACTTCGCGAGCTGCAGTTTATTCATCTGCTAAATCGAGTTTAGCGAACATGAGTAATTTTTTCAGCATTTCAAAGTAAAATCAGACAGAGATGACGGAAGAAGAGTTTGCCTTTATTCCTAAGACCTACCTGTTTGCCTATAGCAAAACCAAAAGAATTGCTGCAAACTTGATAATGAACTTAACAGTCAAAAAGCTAGGCCAACGGTTAACGAATATGCCCATACCCTACCTTAGTTAGTCCGCTTTAGGCCAACGGTGACACGATATTGAACGGTCAGTTGGGCGACAACTTCACGATCTAATTAGGTTGTTTGCTCGTGTTCCGCAAAATAGGTAGCATTGAGTCTTACTAAATATAACAAAGCCTAAGACGGGCAAAATAGAAATTTTAAAAACTCTCTGATTTGTCGTATTGCCACTATGGGCACATGATTTTGGGTTATGTGATCAAAGTAGGATTATCATGATGAACACACTTAATATTTATACATTCAAGACACAAACTAAAGGAGTTAGCGCGAGTAACAGAAGTTTAGAATAAATATCGGGGCTCCCGAAGTAAGCGAACCAAGATGGCGGACATCGGAATGTAATATGTGTACTAGGTTAAGGTTAGGCCATAATTTTAGCTATAAATACTACGGGAGGCTCTTGGCTAGTCTTCGAACTGATAATAGGACTAAAATAAGGAAAATTGGAAAAAAATTATCGCCTAACCCTAAGCTGTTACCCATGTTACGTTCCGATGTCCGCCATCTTGGTTCGCATACTTCGGGAGCACCTAAATATCTTAGGCTTGTCAAGGGTGTTTTTTGAAACGTCCAATTTGAAAAAAAAATATATTGAATTTGAAAATATAAGTATTTTTGATATTAATTTATTTCTATATTAATAAGCAGTCATTACGAATTGGGAATGCGTGCCATAAATTCTATCAACGACAACTCAGTGATCACCCAATCTGATATATTACGCAATTCTCAAACATATGGACACGAAAATAAAACGAAATAGTACTGTTGCCAAATCTTTCACAGTAGTCTTCCTGACATTGACTGAACAACATATCGCATCAATCGCGAACACCAAACTTCCTACAAGTGCGCAATTTTTCATTTTGATGACGTCATCACAAAAAAATCATAGAGAAAAACCAATCCCATAAAGCCGACAGTAATTTGGAAATAAATAGGTTACACGTAATAGGTTAGGATAGGATTTACATATTTATCCCGGGGGAGAGGAAAGCCGACAAGACGGCTTAATCATATGGCAAACCACGGCCTCTCGTCCGATTACCATTCCATGTCGGGTATGGGATTACTTAGGTATTTGTTTTCGGAAGCATGGACTTGATGGTGAAGGAAACCGTAACCAACCAGCGGTTACGTGAACCACCCTACGGCGGCGAGGGGTCCAGCAATTAATCAATAAACCTCTCGCACATAGCCATCCCCGCATGGAATTCGAACCTGCGAACCCACGCAGGGTATTTGTATTAAGCTAGTATTTGGTAAGTAACCTTAACCAAGTATTTGAACTATTCCTAAAAAAAAAACAAAAAATCGCAACAACATGATATGATCTATAGGTCCACTTCGTGTTCAATAAACACAGTTGTTGACCACTATTTATATCAGACTTAGATCATTTTCGCCTCACTAGAAAGAACATTTCACTGAAAGCTCAAACGTAAACAATCGACAATCCATATTTTTATCCAAATTAGATCTTCATTAATGTGACACTTTCGGCTGAAATGTTCAATGCGATGGCTCTCCATGAACGAATTTGCTCCTCCGATATCAAAGTGATGTAAACACCGCTACAAGCAATTCGGAAGTTATTAATAATCACACAATTTTTGACGAAATATGTTGATCAACATTACTACAATCGATATTTCCTTATCCTGACCCTGAACAACTACGAGCAAATGTTAACGGACAATTCTTTCTCTGACTGCTGTTGGACTATTAGTCCATTTTGTTTGCTCAAATTCAGATATTTATTTTCATCGTGCACGAATCGATTGAAAACAATAAACACACATTAAAATAACAAAAAAACGGGAACTGTTGAATCTAGCAATTGATGAGAGGTCACGAAAGCTATCTTGTCTGTTCAATTCGTGCATTTCTGCTGGATAGGAAAGTTTTTCACTTAGTCATGGGACTATCGAATCTGCTGTATGGCCTTGCAAAAATTGAATATATCTCGGAATAATCGAGGATTTCGGCTAATTTTCATATTCAAGTGGAATGTGCAAATATTGACAAAAATATTCCGCTTGTGGCCGCCAATCATTTTTTGTGTCCATACAACGTCCATACTAAAATTACATAACCAATTGCAATGTTTTTGGTCGACATGTTCGACTGGCTTTTATTCATCTCTCCGAGACACCGAGTTTGATTTCATTCCTTCATCCATTGCACTTCGTTTGTACTTCGGATTTGCGAGTAAAAGTAGAAATAAAGCTAAGATATTAGCTATCAGGGGCACCAATGACGCCATTGCTTCGCCGTAAATTTCTAATATGAGTCGTTCCAAAGAAACGAACAGTACTGAAGCGAAATTAAGCGGCACGACGTACAGTGCCATCAATATTAGATTATTGATAGGATATGTAGCTTCAAGCAGCAATTCAGGTATGGCGACTCCAGTCGGCAATCTTATAGCCATTATTAAAGGATATAATATTCCGATAGCAATGATGTTTTTGAAGTAATGACCGAGGAATATTCCAAGTGAGCACAAAACTATTGCAATGAATGCTAAAAAAAATCAGAAAAATCTATTTACATTACATTCTATATTTAATTGGTCATTATCCTATACTCAATATATTTCATTTCGTCAGAAGACTTCTGCGGTTTGCATTTTATAACTGACCATCGAATCAATTTAGACATGAATATAGGAACTACACTATTTGTTCCAGTTATATAATAATAAGCCCGATAATATTGCACTTTTTTTTATAGTTTGACATAGGCTTGCACGTAATTGACAAAAATCAATTCCGTAATTACGGCCAAATCGATTACGTAATGACCCCGTAATTGCGATATTTTTTTTCACACTTTTAAACCTATCATAACAACCAATTTAATCCACTTCTATTCCGAATGGGACATGGACAGTTGGGACAGTTTGGTTTTCATATTTCCGCCAGTACTACACGCCGGCGACAGATGCTAAAGACAAATATCAAGGAGTGAATTCAAATTAATTTTATTCTGATTTTTATCTTTTGCGTTAGCTTTGATTTTCCTTTATCAACTTTATCACCCAATTTTATGCGATCAATTTCATCATTACCAACACTGGTAAGTGGTAATATATTTATGAAACGATAGTTGACTTTTTTAAAATCGTATTAACGTATTAATACGAGTTTCGTATTAAATAAAAATTCCGGGTTTCTAATTTATAAATCAACGACGAGCGTATTCTCTCGTTTGATTATACTTGCGCTTGCCTCGCGACAAAGACTTGTTATTGTACCGTTTTTTTACATTATCCGACTTTACTACCTAGTTAGCATTTTATAATAATTATTGATGCCGACTTATTGACGATATTCCGATTACCATGCTTCATTTTACATTAAATCATTTCGCGGCCTAAATGTTAACATTATTTGCGATAAATTTAGATCAAATATTAATTATTTGCGCATAATTTAACTCTGAAAATACAAAGGTACATCGCAAAACAATGCATTTTGTGACATTTATTCTGCACTCACGAAAATATTAATTTACTTTTCTAACTCAAGTCGACAATCTTATCGGCTAAGATTGACACAAGTTTGGTCGAGTGCCGGTGGTATTTGAGTCGACGATAAATCAAAATAAGTTGCCGCATTTTGGACTTAAAGATTTTGTAAAGACATATTTGGCCGAAATAGTGCGAGGCATTGTGAAAACAAGGCCAAGTCCGGACAGATATATAACGATAAAACCGGTAACAGAACATCAAGATTTTGTAATAGAAAATGGATCTCGCGCAGAATAAACATGGGAAATCCCGTCTATTTGTTGTTTCTCTGCCGTCTGAATCGCTTTACCGATGCCGAATAGACTAAGTTGCGTTGGTTCATTACGCAATTTCTCTTCCGTCGTCATATTGCTGTTTGATAAGCGCGACATTAATTATCACGGCATTTACGAATAGACCAGGTTTGGTAAGTTGATCTCTTACATTCTTTAGTCATTTCACCCGAAGAAGTTGAAACCAGGTGTGTTGGCGTCCATCGGTCTCAACACAATTCTATCCCATATCTACGCTTAATATGTACATTTGCCATGCTAGATAAGTTGATAATAGGTTAGTAAATGGCAACGCGTTATGCCTTCTCCATCTGCGTAAAAGAGAGAGAAAAACGGCTGCGAATACCGGAACTCTAACTCCTTCTACTTATTAAACTTTAATTTTTTACAATCGACGGAATTGACTGCTCTGAAGAGAGCTTGTTTCAATCGCGAAAGCGCTCCACCAATAATTACGAATTTACGTAATTCGTAACTTCGCTTCCGTAACTCGAAATAATTCCGTAATTCCGTAAATCCGTAAATTACGTGCAACTTTGACACATCGTTCTCAACTTGCCTAGGATACTCACATACTATACACGACTCCTTGTAGTAACCGAAGCTATCCAAGAATCTTCCTGTCGCGAAAGATGTGAGAGCTGCTACACATGCTCCAATGGTCCGTAGCAATCCTGGAAACGAATCTGACATGCTTGGAAATGTCTTCAGTATCATGGAAGAGTTCAATACTTTTGTCATACCAAATACAGAAACTGTTAATGCACGGGATGTAGTTAACAACAAAAAATTCCGGTTTTGTAGCAAATGGACAACTGTCTTTAAATTTACTATACAATTAGCTTCTTTTTCCTCATTTTGTTGTTTTATTATGTTTTGTTGTGCAGCGGTAGGAGGAAACGGGGGGTGATCAGCAGCAAATATCCACATGGAAATTGTTGATACGAATAACAAAAAACAAAGCACTCCAAATGTTGACGCAAAAACCTCTTGAATCTTATTGGAAGAAATTAACCCTACGTTGGCATCAGTGGCATTAACAAAGATGCCTGGAAAAAGTGCGCCAGAAAAGGCATTGCCAAAACCTCCTGCAAGCCATGTCATACCAATGACTGTTGCCCTTTCATTCACAGGAAACCAGCTAGCGGCAAGTGTCATTGGAAGAACGTAGAAAAATCCGTCAGATATTCCAACAAGGGAGTTTCCAATTAGCAGCAAATAGTACGTCTTCCTAAAAATGGTATACACGGTTTGGAATCATTCATGATATATAATCTTCCATGCCTGTTGAATAGGTAAAAATATTTTGGAAAAATACTTAAGGTATATGGGCACCATAAAAGAAAGAAAAAGAAAACCAACTGCAGCGGAAATCTATAGAACATTACAAATATTAGGTTTTTTCACTTCTCAGGTTCAGCCAATCATTGTGATGTAACTGAAAATTGCACAAACCTGCTGATAAATCCAAGCACGTTAAACAGCATTCCAAGGAGTGCACAAACACATCCAAAGATCAATTGCATCCGAACACCAATTTTTCCTGCGAATAGAATCAAGAAGGGTGTCATAAATATCCCGAAGGCATGAGCTATGATAGGCAGAGCATCTGTTGCGTAAGGAGTTTCTTCAAAGAATGAGGTAACGACGTTGTTCACGGTTCCGTAAGATAATGTTGTAAACTCATAGTTGAATATACCTATACTCAAGGCAGCTGCAAACATCCATCTTATAGAATATACAGTGTATTGCATCGCTGCTACACTTCGTTTAAAATCTGAAAAACAGCAGCAGAGTTTGATAGTCTTGACAAATAAAACGTTCTCACGTTCATTTATGTCAAATGAAATAATAACTTTCTAAAACCTAAATATATATAGCATATAAAAATGCGGTTTGGCATTACTTATTTCCTACCTCTTTGCAGAAATTTGATCAACTAGTCCGAAACCAGTGCGCGTAATAGGCGCATAAGGGCGTACGCGCATTTTGAGCATTTCGCGGTGGATGGAGCTGCCGCAAAGCCATGGTGATATTTCCAAACCACGGCTGCTATGACCAAACTCACGGCGACTGACTATTTAGCTGCCACAAACCGATGGCGAGCTGCTGTATCCGCGGCAGCAAATTGAAAACCGATGGGGGGGTGAAATTCATTGAGGTTATATACATCTCAAAGGTGAAATTTTGCTGCCGTAACCACGGCAGGTTGGCCGTTAGGACAGGGCTGCCTTGATGGCGACAAATATGGGATAATTTGGAGAAAAAAAATTTATAGATACAGTTTAGATGTATTTGGGGTTAGGTTTCAGGTTTAAGTAGATATATTTTCGCATGATAAACTAAAATCTGGTACATAACATTGGTCATAACGCGATAAACCATCGAAAGATCCGCCGCGGTTCGTTCGTGGCAGGAGCTGACACGAAGTGGTAAGAACTGCGACTTCGTAATACGGCACTTCATCGTTTTCTATGTACTGTTACTAAACTCGAAAAATTATATATGTTCCTCAAACGAAGGCAAAAACGGAAAATTTACGCACAATTTCCTCAAGAATTATATTGTGATCGAAACTGGAATTGTGAAACAGCTACAGTAACTTACAAATACCCGTACACGGACTGCTACGGTGATGATTGATACGTCTGGTCTCAAAGTGAACTGAAATACCAAATGAAAAAATTCACAATGTAGCATCTAATCCTTTACGTACCCATTCCTCACCTAAGCTCAAAAACGTCTGACTTTTGCGTGGCTTAGTAATTTTTAATATTGTTGACGTCAACACCCAAAATGTCGAAGGGAAACGAATACCAACAATTGACAATAACAATCTTCAACCACTGATAATATTCCAAAGCAATTCGTCCAGTATTTAAAGAGAAAAGCGATTTTTCACAACAAAAGAAAAATAATACCAACATTATAACGAAACGATTCATAAGTCCTCTTCGTGTTCAATAATACTATCTCTAATGAACTACTTTGGTTTTCCATACCATTATGGCATTAACAAGAAAATATATAGTAATAAACATGATTGATAAGAGCGGTATACCTTAGCTGTTATTTTCTTAGCGACTGAGCCATAATATGATCGTTCCTGATAATCATCAATAATTTCCGTTTCGTTGTATAGGAACGTTAGGACGAATTCGTTAGGACGAGTTTGACTTGCAGGAAAAAATAGGGATTGGATCCAGTTTATCAACGTTTTAAAATTTTCAACGTTCAATTTTCCATCAATACCAATACTTATTAAGACATTAGCTAATTAACCGTCACAACTACATCAAATGACAACAGACAACATCCGTTTCGAATTTTTCATATTAGTCGCGGGCGCATATCTATAAATGACATATTCATATATACATTGGTGATATACCATATTTTATATTTATTTCATCATTTGACTGGAATTAGCAGATATGGCAGTGATCATTTACCTTCGTATCCATATAAGCGAGGTTTATTCTTTTATTTAGTACCATGCTAACGCACACAATCCATTCGCCAAAGCCGCTCCGAGACTGGACAATTCTTTTATTGCGAATCCCAGCGTTATTTGTCGCCATTCTGCCTGCAATATTTATCCCGATCATGACTTTGCGTATGAGATCAGATCGGTTCTGACCACCGATAGTTTATTTTTCACTCGGAGAACACGCCAAGCACCACCATTTATCATCGCCCACAATAACACGATACTCTCCCGAAGCACAAATTGTCACTCAAGCATGATCCAGACGACTACTTTGTCGTATACCATTACGTTCTTTGAGAATTGCTCAGTGCGAAAACGAGGTACAAAAAGATTGAACTTGATTGAGAAGCGAGTGGTATGATAATACATGGAGGTAAGTCGAACAGAATACTTGTCAAAAGCTGCGGGCAGACAATTGTTTCAAAATTGGTGCAACTTTAGCAATCTCAAGTGTATGAATGTCAGACAGTTACATGGTATGTGGTGTTTAAGTTTTTACTAATAGATGTGGTATTGAAAAAGAGCAAAGTAAACAGTTTGCACAGTGGCATTCTCCATATAATGCGTAAGTTTTTCCGGGATCTCAACCGACATTGACAGTCTCTAATGCATTTCGATAGTATGAATGTTCCATTTTAAACCAAGATGGCGCACAACCTGAACTCAGGTTGTGTACCAGGTTAAGGTTCAGGTTATGCGACATGTTGGTGCGCATACTTCAGGAGTACCATTATTAAATATAAATCCCGAAATATTTATGGGACTGAACAACTTCCAAGGCAACCTCCTGATTTTGATTCAGATGTTGGGATTTTTTGCACGCGATTTAGGACTGACGATCATGGCTTCGGATTTTGATTCAGATGTTGGGATTTTTTGCACGCGATTTAGGACTGACGATCATGACTTCAGATTTTGATTCAGATGTTGGGATTTTTTGCACGCGATTTAGGACTGACGATCATGACTTCGGATTTTGATTCAGATGTTGGGATGTTTTGCACGCGATTTAGGACTGACGATCATGACTTCGGATTTTGATTCAGATGTTGGGATGTTTTGCACGCGATTTAGGACTGACGATCATGACTTCGGATTTTGATTCAGATGTTGGGATGTTTTGCACGCGATTTAGGACTGACGATCATGACTTCGGATTTTTCAACATTCACAGTAAGACTGTTGTATAACATTCAATCAAACATTTTATATATTTTGGTGTTCACGGTATGTTGAAGTGTGATCAAGTCTTTGGCACTGGCAAGCAAGCAGGTATTATCGACGAAGAGTTTGGATAGAAGTTTCTAGCATTTTGTCAAATCATTTATAAAATGTAAATAGGCCAAGGGTCCAATAATCGAACCTTGAACGATTCCACACTGAATACGCAACATAAGGGATCTCCAACCTAATTCAACAAACTGAGATCGACCACTCAAGAAAATACATAGTTTGCTTGCACTGTCTCTAACATATCAACTTTTGGATGAGGATTCGATGGCTATCACTGCAGTGTGCACTGCGATGAGATTATGAGCGCAAAGTTGCCTCGAAAGTTTAAAGAAGCGAAAGTGCCCCGGCCAATTTTAACAAGTAGGGTGCCCTGGCCGATTGTAGTAGGGTGCCCTAGCTTTCGTTTCAACTCTTTTAATATAATAGATAATCGAAAAAGCGTTGTGCGTGTTAAAAAAAAACAATCAATAGAGTCGCGATTTATTCAAATCGTTTTGTGGTTATTTTGCGAATAATCGAATCGAATTGTAATATAATTGAAAAGCACACACGATGTCAAATGCCTCTTGACCACTTTTCGTGTGTAAAAGACTTCTGCCTGTCAATTGGTGGTCATTGTGCACTAATATAAGAGCGGTCATCAATCTGCGACATTTATAAAGACTATTCTAAATTTCTTTGCAATGGTTTTAACTGTTATAATAATTGCGGAACCAGTGATTCAATCTGGCGGTAACCAAATTGCGTTGTTCAATCTTCATTGTTTCATACATGAGCTAAATATTGGATATTCGCCGACAAGAAAACGTATACTATAGCATTCCCTGAAATGCCGCAGACCCAGTATGAAATATATGCACCGATGCCACTTGCGCGTTTCCATACATTACACTGATAGGAACAATGACAAGAATGAGTTTTCTTTCGTGAACGTACGCGAAATACAACATTGGTAATTCTTGAAAACGTGAATATAAAAAATGAACAAAAGATATGCTGGTGATCCCCAAGTACTTTTGAGCGTGTCGCGAATTGGAATAAATATTCCTTATTCGCCCAAATAAACGATAAGATACCGAAAATTATTGTTGTAAGAAAAGTAAGATTCTCAGATATCAGACGTCTAGTCGCGATATAATTGTTCATATGTCTTTTCACTCATTGGATCACAATCGACAATTCACACTTGTTTCTTTCGCTGATTCGGCAATCGTTATCATTAAGTCTTTCCGTCAACCTCGAAATAAATATTCTTTTGTGATATATTTTCAGGCCACATTCTTTCGCTTCTGATACAATTAGCCATTCTTCATTGAGAAACCGTGTTTATTTAATAACTTCGTTCATTTTTTGATGTTGGAACTTGGGTTATCGATAGTTTGTTAGCAGAGACAATGGCCAAAAAAGGCCTAAATTTATATTTCATTACCAAACAATATCGTGTCACGTATCAAAACTTTCTGAATGGCCAATAAATTTACTAAGAAAGGAACGAGGAGTTTACAAATTTTAACTTTCGATTTTAATATTTCAGTGAGATATTTTTGCACTAACAAATCGTGAACTTCGGTTACATGACTCTCTTTCATAGAAACGCACGTCGTATCCCTACATCTGGTGGATGCCATTGAGCATTTTTGCAAGAGTAGTGGAATCGGAGTGCTTGTATGTAATATCATATTATAAACAAGAAATTATTATAAACAATCTCCCATGTCTGCACCACATAGCTTATAATTTCAGCAAATATCGTTATGTAATGCAAAATTGAGTTATTGAATTAATCGCACGCAGCTTAGTTGTAAAACTTCAAACTCGCATTATGCAAGTTATTGACTACTTTGAAAATTTTCCCTTCAAAAACCAAAAAAAATGGCAATTCGCATTCTCTAAAAAAATACGAAAGTGCCTCAAAACTTTTGCAAAAAAGTTGGCCAGTAGTGAACACTATGGCAGTGTGAAACTGCTGTTTTTAGATCCAGGAAGACACAACAGGCAAACTCCTTCTATTATCAGTTTTTTCAATGAAATATGAAATTAAATATAGGATGGCATGGGAAGTCGAA